CATCGCTGAAGACATGTCTGGCCGCAGTTCACGTGATTATCTGTTCAATGAATGGACAAACATGTGATCAAAACAAACATTGCATCAGATATTGGCGTAAATCGTGTCAAATGTGGGCAACAAATGAGTGCATTGAATGGCAAATGTGTTGGCAATGAGTGAGTGCTTGCCATCAGTTGTGTCCACAAAACAAGCACTCAATGAATGTATGAATTAATTGCAAAACTCACCCAAAAATTGAAACCCAATTTAAAATCAAACTTTTGTTTCATTAAAACATACCAAACGTGTGACTCATGTGATGGCCTATAGATGTCGACAATGAAGCCATAAATTGGATTAACTGTTAGAAAATGATTCTGTACCACAGAATCAATATTTAATTTATTTGAAATTATATTTATTTATTTCAAATTTATAATCACTTAAATTTATCAAATAATAGTCCAAATATGTGTTAATAATAATAAGCATTTTATTAGACAATAATATTTATGTTATATAAAAGGGAATCAAAATATAGTTAATTATAATTACATTAAATAAATAATTCAATGATTTAGTTATCGGTCTATAAATGATTTCAAAAGAATAACAAACTTATTACAGCAGTAATACATTATTTAATATAATTATTTATAAATTTAAATTAAAAGTAAACTTATTTCATATAAATACAAATATATTGATACAGAATGAGACAATTCTCAAACTCTTATATAATTATTAAAAGTCACATAATTATGACTTAAATAAAAATTAATAAGTTAATAAAACTCGTGAATAACTTGTATATAAAGTCATTTGTATAATATATTCATATTTACTAAACAGGTTCGGGTGAGCCCTGGGATGGGAGCAGTCATTCATTGCCACCTCAAAGTTAATTTGTTAAGTATTTTAGACAATGTTTTAAATTTAATTTTTAAATCAGTTCTCAAATACAACTGATTTCTTACATTAGTTTAAACAAATTGTAATTAACGCCTAAAAGTTTAATATATAAATTTACAAAATATCCAGTGAACAAATATACAGTGAATCTAATAAATAGATGTTTGAGTTATAAACTAACTCTAAAATAATTGCCCATTCATTCATCGAGTCTTAGAACTCACCATCAATTGGACTAAACTATACCAAAGAGAGAGAGAGAGAGAGAGAGAGAGACTTTATCGCTGTTTTTAATTACTTTAAATTTCACGGTAATAGCATTCATTACTCAAACAAATTCATTCAAAAAGTTTATGTTTTAATAATAAATATATTAAAGTTTGTTACTATGATTTGAACTTTCATTTTAATCTAACAAATGCTGTATCAACAATGAGACCAATTAGCAAGCAATTGGTGCTCATTGAGTGACAAAACAATTATTTCAATGGTTGCAAATTGTCTAAAATTGTGTCCAATAAAGTCTCCCATCCCTGGCCTTTCACTATAACGATAACTATTTAAGTGTAATATTAATTGACATCTATTTTTGGTACTCTTGTATGCTGTAGAAGAGTCTTATGGACTGAGGCCTCGTGTCGTCTCAACTTATCCTTAACTATAAAACTTTTACCACAATTCTCGACCTCACACTTGAAGGGCCGCGTATTGGTGTGTCGTCTCACGTGAATCGTTAACTTATTATTATATTTGGAGACATACGTACAGTTAGGGAAATGGCATCTATAAAGTCGGACACCTGTGTGTGTCTTTGAATGTCTTAACAGTTCAATACTAGTGGCGAATTGTGCGCTGCAGTCATTCCATCCGCAGTGGAACAGCTTCTCCCCGTTATGTTTCTGTGTGTGCCCTCCAAGTGCTTCCGGACTAATGGCTGTGTAATAGCAGTGCGGATATTGGCATTTGAACACCTGTTCCCCCGTATGAGACATCATATGAATGGTTAGGTTTTGCTTTTTATTGAATTTCGCGTCACAGTCACTCCATTTGCATTTGTATGGCTCTAAACGTAATGACAAGCAATGAGTCCATTGATTCAAAGTGATTGTCGACATCACTTACTTTGTCCCAAATGTTTGTAGACATGGATTACAGCGTAACTACTCTTTTGGGTGGTGAACGCACAGCCATTCCACTTGCATTCATACCAATTGCCATCATTTTTGACCACTTTATCGATATACTGCTCGACATTCTTAATCGACAAAATGCCATAATTGGAGTCATCGGTCGAATCAATCACTTTTGTCTCGTCCTCTTGTAAATCGTTATTTAAATTCACGAAAGTATCGTCCGATTCATCGATAATAACCTGCGGAACGAAGAGATCTATTTCTTCCATTTCATTGAACTCATTGTCGTCCATATCGTCCAATGATTGCGACAATAGGTTGTCATCCATTGTCTTCTCATTGGCGTTGTCTTCACATTTCATTGATCTCTCATTTGACTTAATTTCTTGTTTTATATTCAAATCAATTGGCAGTTGAAATGAATTATCTGTTAAACTAATCTGTAAATCGTTTTGATTGCTGTTAAATAAGTTAAAAAACGCCAAATTCTGTTCAGTTATAGATTTTTCCAAATGCTTTTTCGCGTGAATCGATTTGTGATCCTTTAGTTTCCAGGAGTCCGTAAACTTTTTCTCGCATTCGTCGCATTCATACGGACCTAAAGTAAAGTGAATTTCAGATTATTTGCACTTAAAATCAAGTGTTAAATAACATACGTTCGCCGGTATGTGAGCGCACATGTCGTACCAAATGATTACTTTTATTTGATCCGTAATTACAGTCCTGCCATTTGCAGAAATAAAATGTAATTCCGTTCACTTTGCGGCGCTCAACATATTGCTCCACATTCTTGATGGACATCACCACATCGACTGGACTTTTTGATTTCACACTCATTTTGTTATAATTTAACGGAAGGGGAAGAGTAGGCAGTAGTGGGAGGGGAGGGGAACACAAACTTTGTATCAAAAGTCTGTTAGCATTGGGCGTATAAAACGATTGATTGGATGCCTTTGCGGTGACTTGCGGTGAAGATTTTTGGGGCGCAGGACTGCTACTACTGACCGACACATTGAGATTATGACACATCTTATGGTCTCTGAGTTTCCAAATATCAGTAAACTTTTTACCACAACCGATGAAATCACAGCAATGGTTGCGCTCATTGGTGTGGCTGCAGATGTGTCGCACCAAATGATTGCTTTTGTTACTCGAGTAGACACAGTTAGGCCACTGACAAAAATAACGGGTCAAACCGTCCACTTTGCGGCGCTCCACATACTGTTCCACATTCTTGATAGACATGACAACCTTCTTGGGGCTCAACAGTTGAGTGGTCTGTTGGTCGCTCACATTGAATGTCATTCGGTTCGCCAATCTATTCAAACCGTTGGCACTGGTAGTCAATCCGTTTGTTTGCACCGTATTATTCACTTCACTAATCACTACATTATTATCCATTTGAGTGTCACTTTTGTTGTTGAGATCAAAGACTAAATCCATTGAATTCTTATTATTGTTTCCAACAGTTGTAATAAATTTCCTGTAATGAGTCAACTGATGCTCTTTCAGTTTGTATGCGTCCGTAAACCTCTTGTAACAGTCGGGCCACTCGCAGCCAAACAGCCGCTCATTCACTCCCTGGCCATGAGCTGAACGTATATGTCGTATGAGATAATGGCTTTTAGGAGTTCCATAATTACAGTCTGCAGCTTTACACCGGAACCACTCCCTGCCACTCATAAGACTTTTCTCGAAAAACTGGGCCACATTATCGACCAATTCATCCGGTGATACATTTGTGTCACTATTTGTCACATTATCTACACTTAAGTCCACTTCACTGACTATAACTTCTGGTATAAACATATTTAAATCAGTGTTCATATCGTCATCCCTTTCATCCCTGTCTTCTAACTGTTGTTTGGCTTTGGAATCGCATTCGTTGTCAATGGGTTCACAAAGTTTGGTATTTGTGTTCAACATTTCCACAAATTGTTTCAAATGATCATCACTTTTGCTGTCAGTCGGCGTATGGTTTTGCGGAATAGACATGAGTTTGCGTTTATGTGTCAATATGTGGTCCTTTTGTTTCCACGAATCGGTAAACTTTTTGTCACAATTAGGCCAATTGCACGAAAATGGTCGCTCCCCTGTGTGCTTACGTATGTGCCGCACCTGTATGTCCACCACAAAACACACAGCAATTAGTTAATTGTTTTACAAATTTATTTCAATTTCATACTACAATGACAGTCAAAATAAAGCAAAACGCAAACCAGGATATTATGTGATCATAAATACGTGTTTCAGTTCATTACTCTTACTATAAATGTATGTTTGCTATCAATCCTTATCCGTATGATTGCATCAAAGCATTCATTAATTCATAAAACCGAAAATTAGAGGCTTAAAGGAGTGCAGGCAAGTATCAGGGTTAGTTTGTTTTGTATGACATAAATGAAATGTTTTCCTAAAATTATGCAAAATTAAGTCATTATTTCCGTCACTATTATTCACATAATTATTAGCCTTTTCTGTCAAATATATTAAATATACAAAAGTGTTGTTGAAGTGAATGTTTTAATTAGACCTGATTTCCACATTAATTCATATGTTTTATACAGTACTGCGATAATTAGCTTGAGATTTACGAAATATTTGATACCGAAAAAACAAATTTGCTATCATTTTGCTGATGATATTAGTGTATAGTATAGTAGTGAATGCAATATAAGGCAAACCCTTAGGAGTGAGTGATAGCTGCGGGGGTCTACAGGTCTACAGAGAGTGCAGAGAATTCCAGGAATACAAGGAGGGGTCACACACTCACTCACATCACCCATACATACAGCCATACATTGCCAGCAATTCATGGCAATACCTCTTCTAATGCAGCAAAATATGTGAAAAACAAATATTTCTTTCCTTAACCCAAATATAGACAATTCATATCAAAATCCTTTTCACAGACTTTACACAAAAAATTGGATTCAATTTTCGCCACGAAATACAAGACAGAGTTTGGGTCACAGAATTAGGTCACATCTTATGGTAAGCCATGGGTCGGGCGTTCACTCGACAGGTATGGGTGGGAGGGGTAGAGCAGAGGTGGGGGGAAGTGGTGGGCAAGTGGTGCACAGGTGTACGCCATCATGGGATCAATTGGTGGTCATATGAATACAAACTAAACTAATACCAAATGATTGGATTTGTTGGAGGCATAGGAGCACTGATGCCATTTGCAGTGATACCAAGTGATCCCATTGATCTTCCGTCTCTCCACGAATTCCTCGACATTCCTGATGCCATCGTACGTGTGGTTCATGTGATTGGTGCCAGAGTTGAGCCAATTGTTGACACTTTCATTGGTGATCATCACTGCACTGTCCGCTGAGGTGTGGGATGTGTTGACACGAGAATACGTCCTCTTATTGCCGTTATTGACAGGTCTTTGATTGGGGGTTACAGTGATCTCGAAGTGGTGTCTCTTAGTGTCCAACGGGTCCAATGGATTCACTTTGTCTGTGGTGTCCACGGAATCAACTGATTGACAGTTAGTGTTCAAGTGATGACTGTTTTCCAACTTTATCTCCCAATCGATGTTTTGTCGCTTAATATCATATAATTCTGACAATAAATTCACATTACTTTCCATTATTTGCACACAATTTACACAACAATTCAATTGAATTGGAAACACATTTTGTTTGACATTTCAGACATCACTTCACAGACAGTCTTAGGATTCACTTCACGTCTAATGTTATGTTATGTTTCGCTCAATGTTTCGTTCATTCATTCATTCATTCATTTTAAAGGCGTTTCAAACAAACTGTAAAATAGAGTCAAACGCAGGGAACGTCTCTATAGTGCAGTCATTCGCACAAACTTTGCAAACAAATTCACAATCATTTCATACAGTAATGAAATTTTCATTGGTTTTCTTAAACATTGACAAACTTTTTAAGTTCTCCACAACTTTTTTAATAATAATTTTAATATAAACTCATAAAATATAATATATTATAATCATAAATCCAATTAACTTACATAAAACCACACATATCTTAATCCAGATATTGGAGGTCTACATTCAATCCTTAATCCAAGATTAGTTTTAATTTAATCATTCACTTCTTAATCCCCTAAAATGCGGTCACATATCATATCAGTTCACTGTTTTTGAATATGTTTATAAGAACTTTAATGTAGCAAAATTATATCAAGTTAATTTTTATATTCAGAATAATACATTTTTTTAAAATCTCAACTATTTATAAAAATACAGTTAAAATACTTTCACTGAATATGAGATTTGTTTTATTTCTATTACTAATTCATATAATATCTACTAATCCTTTCCCTATTATATTGGAAGCTAAATATATTTGGAAATATGGGGTAATTATCCATTTATTTTTAAACAATATCTTTAAGCAAAAGTGTTTGCGAGAGAGAGAGAGAGAGAGAGAGAGAGAGAGAGAGAAATTAAAATAACTTAACAATTATTGGTTTTAATCATTTTATCACTTATAAACTGACAACTTGTGTGATTGGCTGTTGATGACTGTATTGTGGACGCAAAGGATCCCAAATTCTTGTATCCGTATATCAATAACATTCCGCCCGAAGAGTGGAGACGTATTCAATACCGGAAGAAGGGTTCATATTCTTGGCTGAGGAATAATTTTAATTTATTTTTTATTCAAATCAAGAATGTTACATTCTTAAATGCAATTATATTTCATATTATTATTATGATTTTATTCAAATATATTTTTTCGTGAAATAAAATTTAATTTTATGTTTTAATCATTTTATCACTTATAAACTGACAACTTGTGTGATTGGCTGTTGACATGACTGTATTGTGGACGCAAAGGATCCCAAATTCTTGTATCCGTATATCAATAACATTCCGCCCGAAGAGTGGAGACGTATTCAATACCGGAAGAAGGGTTCATATTCTTGGCTGAGGAATAATTTGCCATTTTTTGGCTGATCTATAGTTTTATAAGTTAATGAATAAAATATTGATTTATAAATGATTAAAACATAAAATTAAATTTTATTTCACGAAAAAATATATTTGAATAAAATCATAATAATAATATGAAACATAATTGTATTTAAGAATGTAACATTCTTAATTTGAATAAAAAATAAATTCCTTAAATCAGTTAATTATATAAATAGATAATAAACTAAATTCATATGTAAAATAAAAATCATGTCCTAATGAACAGAAACTTGATACCATTGAATGGATTGGGAATACTGTTATACTGGGAACAGTAATATTCAGATAAACAAATTTTGATTAATTAATTCGTGAGTGAAAACTCACTCTAACGTTAAACGTTTTAAGACAAACAAAACAATTATTCAAATTATGTAAACTATAATTTCTTTTCAATAAATTCATATACTTTGAGATTAGCATTAAATGATTGAAAATATGATAAAATATAATAAAATTTTGAGCGTTTCATTGGTTCCTTAAGAGCTCTAATGGACTCATTGGTGGCATTAATATTCATAAGCATCTCTTGTGTCTAATTTTGTGCATTTGAAGTGTTTTATCGTTGATAGTCTGGAACTGACAGCCCTTGTAATTACATCTGAATGGCTGTTGCTTTTTGTGGATCACTTGATGGGCCATGAGTTGGGATTTGTCTGAAAAGCTGGCTCTACAGTGATTCCAATTGCACACGAATTGTCCCATATTTTGGTGTTTCTTCACGTGCACTAAGATATCATTCCTTAGATGTGATCTGAATTTGCATTGTCGCGGATTCCAAATGCATACAAACCATAACTTCTTGTTATACTTCCTCTTAGTCAAGAACTTCGAGAGTTCCCTGTCTTCGAGCTTATCGTCTTCCTCTTCATTGGTCTTCTCGTAAAACAATCGGTTCTCTTCCTCTGCCTCTTCTTCGTCCAAATGGTCGTCAATCTCTTCATTCATGTCTTGGTCGTCGTTCTGGTCATCGCTGTTGTCATCCAAGTCTTCGACGAAATTGCCATATCTCTGAACCTTCTTCACTGTCCTCTTCGGGACATCTCTTTGAAGAGCGTACGGATTGTTGGCCACATTTCCGTTGATAAAACTTGGCTTAAAAATCCTCAGCTTTGATGCAATCTTGTCATCGCAATAGGAGTCCACCGACTGGTGGACCTCTTCTTGGACCACAACCTTCTCTGATCTAAATTTACGTCTTCGGCCACCGTTTAAGACAATCTTAGCCCTCAACCCGTGATGTATTCTCAGATGATTCTTCAGATTACAAGCAATTGTGAACTGTTTCTTACAATAACCGCATCCAAAAGGTTTGATGCCTAAGGAATCAATTATCAACAATTGGTGTCAAAGAGATATATATGAAGAATGTTTACCCAAATGACTGCGAATGTGGTTAACCTGAGATCACATGAAATACATGATAAGAATGTGGACACAAATCAAGCGCTCAATCATTACAAACCATAGCACCGGACCATTTGGATCCGTAAGGACAGGGACCACGAGATGTCTTCCACTGACACGAGTGCCACACTTTGCCATACTTTCTGGTGGTCACTACATACTGGCGCACACTCTCGATGCCATTACCGATCTTCTGCACCTCCACCGCATCCCTAACCCCTCTGGCTCTGCCCTCCGCACCCATGGGTCGGACTCTTTGTACAATAGTCTTCACATTCTTCGTATCTTTCACATCGATATCACATCCAATTGTCTCGTGTCCATCACTAATGTCTTTATCACAATATTTGGCGCTATTATCGATGCAATCGTTGTTGAGGTTTAAGAGTGTTATTCCGTTGACTTTACAGATAACTGTCTTAAAGACCATTGGTTGAGACATTGGTTGAGACATTGGTTGAGACATTGTCGCCACCGAAGACTTTCTGAAGTATTCGTCAATGAAGTAATGAAAACATGTGTTCATATGAAATGAATGGCCAAACAATACATACAGTGAATGAGTGCACGACTCATGTGTTCAGTGATTGTGTTTACAGTGTTTTCAATGCACTCAACACTCAATGCATTGAATACATCGTTGAATGCATTGAACGGACACTCAATTGCCAATCAACACAACTCTCACATCCACTGCACGCTTATCACTAATATAGCGTTCAATTAAAATATTTCTAAATACTGTATACATTCACAACATTATCGTATTCATTGCTATTAAACACAATTTGCACAAATAATTAAAATATTTTTACATGTTTATCAATTATACTCTAAGATTCAGATTTCAATCTATAGAAACGTCTGTTTATTACTTTTTCTGTTTAATGAATTTGATATAACTTTTGATTGATATTGGATAATATTTCAATCCGTAAACATTTTTATTCATTTACAAATTGTAATTAAAGATTAATTAAAATCAATTATATATACAATTATCACCATAACAATTGATATTATTATTATTATAACAATATTCTTATTACAATAAATAAAAGTATAAGAATTGGTAGTTTTATTTTACCCTATATTAATTCCACGGTAATTAAATTTATATATACAATTATCACCATAACAATTGATATTATTATTATTATAACAATATTCTTATTACAATAAATAAAAGTATAAGAATTGGTAGTTTTATTTTACCCTATATTAATTCCACGGTAATTAAATTGTATTGAAACGAGTGATAAATGAAATGTTTTGATATATATTTATTGATTGGAGCTTTAGGTACAAAAGTTGGGGCAATACACTTTCATCCAGGGTCAATATTGTTTAATTGCCTCCATTATTCCGGACACATCCATAATATATGATATCCAATGCGATACTAACATTTGAACTTATGATCCAGTCAATCAATGTTTACGAAATATTCATATGAGATCAAGAGATTGTACTAAAGGCTCTATAATATTAAACCTGGATCAAATAGCTTTTCTTATTATTATTCTTTATATTACTGTATCATTACTTAAATGTACCTAATATTATACTGATATTATAATATTCAATTTTTCGTGGAGTTTACATTTTGATAGCTTTATAATATTGTCAAACTTAAGTTAAATGGAAATATGAGAAATGTTAAATTACGATAGTATTCAATTAGGGCATAGAGAATAGTTATACTGGTGATTTACTAATGTTTACTTGATTTATGGACTCTTTTATGATTGTTTAGATTGGTTTTAATCGCAAATCGTTTGCCACAAACTCCACACCTAATCAAGAGATCAATTAAATAGTCATATAAATTAATGGACATATTCATGATAATTATGATATAATAATTACACAAAATTCTTGTCATCGAAGTGTTGGCTTCTCATATGATATATGATGGAAGTGGGGTAAGGGGTGACATAATCACAGAACACACACTTCCTCCAAGTCTTGCCGTCTCTTTGACTGACTGTGAAGTATTGTTCAACACTTTTAATGCCCACAAACGATGGTTTTGCCACACCTTCTGCCGATCGCTCGTCAGTTGTTTCCACTTTAATATCATTTCGCTTAAGACTCTTAAGACTCGTCTTTTGGGTTTTGGTTTTGGTTTTGCTTTTGTTGAGCCCATAGTTTGTATCCCTTTTATCAACAAATGACTCTTTTTGTGGACAAATAGTATCCCTATTTCTCATCATATTTCCACTTGTCTTCCGTTTTTGAGTTTGAGATCCATTTTGACGGCAATTGTCTTGAATTGCATTCATTTCCATCAATTCGTGTTTCGTGTCATTCAATGTCTTATGTCTTCCGGAGTGTACTTTTCGGTGATTATTAAGATTCGAAGAAATGGCAAAACTTTTGTCACAACCGGCAAATTCACAGACAAATGGGAAGTATTTCATGTGATTCCTGATATGGTTTGCGATGGCATTCCTCCAGAGTGCTGAATAGCTACAGTTCCTCCACTTGCAGGCAAACACTTGACGGCCATTGGATTTTGTGATCTTAAGATATCTGTGATAACTGTCACCAACCGATCCATTCATTTCATCTTTCGGTTTGGTTTCTGATACTAAAGAGTAGTTCTTATCGAAGCTGTCGAGCAATTGCTGACAATCACTGAACGGGTCCTCAAACGGATTCATCACTTCTTGTTTGACATGATTTAAGTTCAACTCATATTCATTGTGATGGCGGTTGTGGTCATGAGTGGCGTGTTTGTCGATGGGGTGCTTGTGGTCATCGGTGGTGTCGTTATAGTAGAAGACATTGTTGTCGTGACCATCGAAGTCGTGGTTCAGTCTTAGGATAGTCTCTCCTTTGACTCTACAGATAATTGTCGTGTATTTCGCCATCAATTTGTGATTTCAAACACAATTTCAATCACTTTTTGAAGCAGTTTTCAAATATGTGTTCAAAACACAAGTTTTGCGTGAATTTCAAACAAATGCCACGAAATGTGTCTCAAAATGAGTAAAACATTTCATTAAAAGCTTTTTAATGAAAGGAAAGGCTTTCGAAAAACATTTACAAAATATGAGTAAAAAATGATTAATTTCTTTACAATTGTTTGACTTTTAATATCACAGTTATGCAGTAAAGTATGTGTGGGCACAGGGAGGGCAGGTATGTCTCGTCTGCTTTTGAAAACTCTTTTAAATATGAAGTGAAATGTGATTTTTAAAATAGACTTTTCGTTGAGTCAAACATTGCTTTTTGTTATATGTATTACAATTTTATGGATTATATAATATTATTATTAATACCATATGTACAGCACTGTAATCGACTGTATTATATTATTGTAATATATCATTTATATAGCACACATACAATAATTAATTTGAATTGATATCCGTTTAGTGACACCACTTACAGTATACATGTAACTATTAATCAATTTAAATCAATTTAATATTAATATTTACACACATTTAGTCAAATCATAGAAAATTGTATCAATTCAATAGTGGGTGCATGGACACTTTTAGTTAAATTCCACTATTCATAGACCGAATATTATTATATCTGTCAATTGAAAAAGCCCAATATGTTAACAATATAAGCATGATG